AGCACACCTTAAGAGTATATTTCTTTATATATATATATATATATATATATATATATATATATATATACACATACATATATACATAGATATAAATACAAACAAACATATCAACCCACTCTCCTACATATAAAAACACACAAACCAACATTCAGACACACATGCACAAATACAAGTATCTATGAGTTTAGCAACAAATTCCTTAAATGCTTGAGAAAAAAAATTATATACGTATGAGCAAAAACAAAAAAGTTACTTCCCTTACATTGGAAAAAAACCCAAAAGAACACATGAACTTTGAAATTTACAATGCTGCATAGGCAGTAAAAACGAACAGTTGAAATGATTTAAATTCAAAAAAATGCATATACATACTCACAGACAACTTAACCCCCTGAAGATGGCCTCAGATGAGATTGAAAGTACTTGGGAAAATAAAAACTATTCAAAAGAAAATTTTGGTATTTTTCTTACTCAATTTTCTATGTCTAATTTATTTAACCAAATATATATATATATATATATATATATATACACACACACACACACACACGTGTGTGTGTGTGTGTGTGTGTGTGTGTGTGTGTAAAAAAAATTTCAGCTAGAGTAAATCGGTAAAAGGACAATATGAATATGAATGAAGATAAAAGGAAAACTTATCTTAGCTGACGTGTTTCATCCTCTGAGCGACTTTGTGCCTTGATAAAGTCCCTCATAGGACGAATACATGTAAACTATTGCACATTGAACATTGATACTAATCAAACAATGCTCAATATATAATAGCTATAATTTATATTAATAATAAATATACAGTTTTTTTCTGCACAACTATAAGCTTCATGCACAACATAATCATCAGGTGCTGATTGAAAACTGACCAGTAATTTTCTAAAGAACTTTTATTTATTAATCCGACTGACTTTTATCACTTTAAATATTATTTTTAGTGGATATACATATTTGAGATTTCTTACATTTCACATTATCATAAACTATCCACTTTTCATCAGCTCTTATAATGTTTTAATAGAACCCAATAGTTTCTTTTTTGGTGAAAGTTACACATCAAAGTGACTAACATAAGAAAAATTGATGCAAATGATTTTCAGCATCAAAATTACTTATTTGGAATGTGTTGGTTATCGCCATTGATTAGTCCTGATTGTTCTCAAGTGATGTCTTCTTTTGATTGCTATCAACTCATGTTCCCAGAACATGGAGCATCACTTACTCAGTGAGAAATCTCCAGTATAAAATTTCACAAAACACATTTAACCTGTTTGATCATTTCACATGGTTAATCGTTGCGTACATGTTTCTTATTCCTCAATAGAAGTCCAAAGAGTGAGAAGGAATAAAGATTCGACATTTTTTAAAATTCTTTTTTTCAATTTACCACTTTATGGTAATTATAATTTTTTCTTTCTCCTTCCTCTTCGTTTCTCTATTACATCTTTTAATACGCTTGTTTTAACGCAATAATTAAATTTTGAACCCCCAGAAAAATATTTAAGTATTATAGTAATATACTTAATAGTAGATGTGCAGGCAGGTTGGCAGCTAGGAATGAGAAATCAGCAAGCTGAGTTTTAATTCTAGTTGAGTTCATTACATTCACTTTCGCACAAATACCATTGGGAAAGGTCAGGGCAGACTCAAGGTACTGGACACTCAGGCAGTTGCTTAGGGTACCATCAATACCGAGTGTGCAATCATGTGAAAATTTAAAAAAATTATATTTGTAAGGGCACTGAAGTTCAGTTTTCCCAGGGTACCAGCAACCCTAGACTTGCCCTGGAAAAGATATAAATCCATCACTTCTCTTCCAGCAAAGAGTTAAATAACAGTGCAGACTGGGCTCCCTAGCAATGGTTGCTAACCAGTCTAGTTAACCTTCTCTTACATTGGTTGACAACCATGGCTAGAAACCCCAGCCTTGTAGAAGGACAATTCTGAATTCAAAATTCAGCTGCCTATAGATATACAAAGATGATTAGACATGGGGGAGGGGAAGATATTATGTCTGTAAAGCAAAAACTAGATTTCAACAAATATAGATAATTACTATAAAGAGGTAAACCAAAATTGTTTTCTTTTCTGATTTTCCTCTTTACTCTAACTAAATATTGTTTCTTTTCTCTTTGCTCTTTGTTTCTCTATCACATCTCTCAGTTTGACTGTTTTTACTACAATAATAACATTTTATACCTAGAAAAATATTTATATACTCAATTTAGTGATTATACTTCAGGAAAATAATAACATGATGTAGTCTAAATAAGTCTGTATTGCTACGACGTCACTTGTACAAATCAAGATACCGCTGGTTCAATTCACTGTTCTTGTTTTCTGAACACTTCACAACATAAATCCGTCTTTTTCTTCTGCCGTTTTCACTGCTTCAGCCCTCTTTTATCAGGCCAACACCATGGTCAACCAACCAATCAGTGTTCTTTGCTTTTCTTCTCAGTTACCCAGGTAAATAGCCTCCTCCAGTTCAACCAATCAGCACATGACTTGCTATTGGTCAAAGCATGCTAAACTGTACAAAAACCCTCGTTACCACACATACTGCTGGAATTGCTAGACAGGAGAGTAATGCCATTTTCACGGAGAAAATTTGCCAATGCCACATGTTGAGATAAGACCCTTATTTTCCTATGCGCCAGATGCAAGCCACTATGGCTCGCTTGCTTCTACGGGGCTGTTCACCACACCTGAAGACGAATCAAGAAAGGACTAAGCAACTTAACCCTCAGGAATAATTCAAAGACCACAGCAACTGTAAAACCAATTTCATTGCCTGAATTAATAAGCTCAGGCTAAATTTTGCCGACTCAACTAAGAGAGGCCTGGAAGCTGACCAGTAGATAATCAATCCTGGTTAGGTTACCTGAGAGAAGAGGTCTATGTTTTTAGTGTTCCAAAAATCTTCAATGATACCAAAAATAGACATTACTGATGAAGCATCCTGGTGCACTGCAAATAAGTTTTAGATATGCACATCTCGGTACTGAGACAAATGCAATTTCATAAACAATTAGTTGCTGTTGTTTTTAATATTATTTACTAATAAATGTAATTTACAAAAAAATGTAATTTCTTTATTAGCAGGTCAAATTCGCCTCAAAAAAAAAAAAAAAACATTGTCATGAACAAAGATTTGTAAAAATGGCAATAACTTTTAAATGTTTACAAATAATTGCTAAATCTAATTTGAGGTCTAGAGACATTTAACTTACCTTGTACCATATTTTTCAAGAGAGGAATATCTTTACTAATTACTGGAGGAGACTCAGACTCAGGTAGGAGGGGGCAATCCTCAAATCCTTTCTTATGATCAGCACCTGAAAAAAAAAAAAATTATGTTCATCTTGATTCAAGGAGGTACTGTAACATTCTCATTACAACCCCCTTCCCCAAATTTGACCATCTTCTTCTATTAGCCATACTCCTGTGTATGATGATACTATATCCAGCAGCAAGGCCTCTGATCGGTAGAGTAGAGGTTTTGAGATGCATTGAAAGACCTTTTACTGTTGTTCCTAGGTCAAACCTGACCCAGGGTGGTAGCAACTGTCAGAATTCAAGCTATTGGCAATTAATTGACCCCTCCAAAAACAAAAATCAAAACACTAGGAAAGTATAAAAATATATTTTTATAGTAAAAATATCAGCAATACATTTTTATAAAAATAAATTACCAACAATACATTTTATCTGCAAACTAGATAACTAAAATGTATATGTTTACCCTATGTGGTAATAAAATAAATCCATCCGATCTCCCGTCTTGCTTGTAACTATCCACTACAGTGTAACCCGGATATAAGAGAGTTGTCAGGACCAGAGAAGTCTCTTATATCCGGGTTTGGTCTATTTATATACATTAATACAGACTCTAATTTGGGACCAGAGAAAATCTCTCTTATATCCGGGTTTCTCTTATATCCGGGTCTCTTATATCAGAGTTACACTGTATAATAAAATAAATGTTTTCAGCACCAAAACTGAATTAGTGTAATAAAGTTTCATAAGCTTCCTACATAAGCTTCCTAATAGTTGTTGCTGTATTACACCCTGAAAATATAAAATCTTGTACAAAATATCTGTAGTTGAAAACAAAAAATTACATTAAAAATATTTAGATTTCTGAATTAAATAACCCATAAAAGTAGAGATGCCACTAAACACAATCAATCAAACCAATCTATTAGCCATGTTCCTTCAGTCCATGACCAATCATTGCCCTTTACAACTATCCTCCATAGTTCTAAACGACATTTGTCCATTTACTATTCCCCCTACTCGCTGTTCTATCAACCATTTAGACAAACTGGTTAGTCACTCTTTCTCTCTGTCCCTCTTACCTTCAATATCTCTTGTGAGTATCAAATTCTCTAAGCCCTCTTTGAACCCTAACCATGACCTAAGGACCAAATATCAAATTTTCTTTATTCGCTTTTTGCTATTTAACCCATAGCTGGGGAAAATGAATACACTATTTAACTTAGCTTCTTTTTTGGGATTTGTACCACTCAAAAAATGTCTTATTTAAATATTTATAATTATGTGCATTTATCTTGTAAGATCATCAATTTCAAACAGACCAAAGATAAGACGGAATTTCCACTCAACTTTTTTCCCTACTAACTGTGGAACAGACTCCCACATTGGTGCTTTCCCAAACATTATGATCTCAACATCTTCAAGTCAATGGTCAGTTGTTATCTATCCTTCTTATCCTCATAATCTTCACATCTTACCACCTCCTTTTTCATTCATATCAAGCACCTCATTCATCATAACTATTTTAACAAGAAACCTCTACACAACATTCTTGACCTCTTCAAGTCAAAGGTCAATGATTATCTATCCTCCTTATCCTCATAATCTCCACTTCCTACCACCACAGTTTTCATTCATTTCACACATCTCATTCATCATAACCATTTTAGCAGAAACCTTCTACACCAAATCACTCTTGATCTTTGTATTAAGAGAATTCTAGTATTAACCCCCACCTCCAGGAGCAAGGGTTCTTGAGACTAACATGCTAGACATCTAGTCATTTATTAAGCAGAGTTTAGTCTGACATAAGGTGATAAGAATTGAACAATGGCTTATCAGCACAACATTTTTTCTAAGTAGGTACCAAAGAGTTGCTTTAAGTTTATTTAGACAACTGCAAGTCTCGTTCCAAGCTGTTCTACTGATTGACACCAAATTATGAAATGTTCATACACACCTTTATCGTGATTGTAAAGCCAAAGTTTGGAAAGTTGAAGGGCCAGCGATATATTCAGGTGTTGAAATGGTTCCAAGGAAACTAATTCAAAATCTTCAGAGATTTCATCATAATCATGGAATTCAGGAACCATATACAATGGGCACTGAAAGAGAATAGATTAAGAAATACCGTTATCTTCAGAAAAAGAGAATTGACTTTCTTAATTCCAATCTAATTTGAGAAATAATATTTTGTAAATAAAGTTCAAAGAAGATCTTAAAATAAAAATATAGATTATCTGACTGGAATTGTCCTTTATCTTCACTAAAGTCTTCTCATTCTCCTCCACTCCCAGTAACCCTTTGCATCTTAGTGGCATTATTACCTTGCTTGGGGTGAAAAAAAATAGATTATCTGACTGAAAGTTTCACTTGAGATTTTTTAACTTTGAACTTTGATTATTCCTATCACCCACTGCGAAATAATATCATAGAAAAATAAGGCTATATTTTTCTAGATGACGAAAATCACAGAGAGTCTGAAGATAATTTTATTGCCAATATTCTTGTGCCAGTTTCTCAGGATAATTGAAATCACATCCAGCCTATTCACCAATGAAGTTAAGCTTCTAAGGAATCCATTGCATAAGGAACATTTCACAATTCTTTTAAGTCAAACACTAAGTAATTTAAGCATTACCGAACTACAATCATCACAAAAATGTTTCCATAAAACTAGTTCCAAACTGCAGTTATTATAAAAGTGTTTCCATAAAAGTATTTCCATGAACATGATTCCAAACTACAGTTTCCATAAAAGTGTTTCCATTAACATATTTCCAAACTGCAGTCATCAGAAAAATGTTTCGCATCAGCAGTCAACATAAAAGTGTTTCCGATAAGCAGTCAACATAAAAGTATTTCCTAACTGCAGTCAACATAAAAGTGTTTCTTAATTGCAGTCAACATAAAAGTGTTTGCCAACTGCAGTCAATATAAAAGTGTTTCTCATCAGCAGTCAACATAAAAATGTTTCCTAACTGCACTCAGCATAAAAGTGTTTCCCATCAGCAGTCAACATAAAAGTGTTTCCGATCAGCAGTCAACATAAAAGTGTTTCCAATCAGGAGTCAACATAAAGTGTTTCTTAATTGCAGTCAACATAAAAGTGTTTCCCATCAGCAGTCAATATAAAAGTGTTTCCCATCAGCAGTCAACATAAAAGTGTTTCCCATCAGCAGTCAACATAAAAGTGTTGCTGATCAGCAGTCAACATAAAAGTGTTTCTTAATTGCAGTCAACAAAAAAGTGTTTGCCAACTGCAGTCAATATAAAAGTATTTCCTAACTGCAGTCAGCATAAAAATGTTTCTTAATTGCAGTCAACATAAAAATGTTTCTTAATTGCAGTCAACATAAAAGTTTTTCTTAATTGCACTCAACATAAAAGTGTTTACCAACTGCAGTCAATATAAAAGTGTTTCCCATCAGCGGTCAACATAAAAGCTTTTCCTAACAGCAGTCAACATAAAAATGTTGACTAACTGCACTCAGCATAAAAGTGTTCCCATCAGCAGTCAACATAAAAGCGTTAACCACCAATATCATCATCTTGGGCCAATCATTTTGCACTTGATATAATATGGAACTAGCAAAGATGCAACTGTAAGTTTTATTCTAACAGTTTCTTTTCTTGTATTTCCTGCCCATAGAACTCATTTCCGGTTTCTTGCTTCCCTGCCAAATACAATCTTCAAAAATTTAAATGCAACATCAATTGCCATCTTCTGTCTTCTTGAGACTCATTTTTTTATTGTCCTTTCTCCTTACTAAAGTCTTCCCATTCTCTTCCACTCCCATTAACCCCTTGCATCTTAGTAGCAGCATCTCTCTTCCTAAAACCTGTTCTTTTAATGACCTTTCTCCCACTAAAGTCTTCTCATTCTCTTTCACTCCCAGTAACCCCTTGCATCTTAGTGGCATTGTTGCCATCTTCTGTCTTCCTGAATTCTGTTCTTTTAATGACTTTTCTCTTCACTAAAGTTTTCTCATTCTCTTTCACATTCAGTAACTCCTTGTGACTTTGTAGCATTAACACTTTTCTTTTCTCTAAAAAAAAAAAAAAAATACCATCTAGAAACATTTTACACTTAATATAATAGGCAAAAATACCGTTCAGAACCATTTTGCATTTTATATAAACCATCAACAGTACCATTTAGTCGTTCCTACTGTTTTACTGCTGCTATATAACCAATCATTTCCTTATTTTCAAATTTTTAAAGAATTCTCAAAGACATGACACTTGACATTTCCTTTCTTATAAAAAACCATATCACTAAACCCTTTCAGCAAGGATCAAGTTTACCATCCACAAATTTCAAAACACAACTAATACCAGGATATGAACCCTAAATTTACAATGGCTAATGATGATAATGAAAAGTGACTCACTCCAATTTCTTGAGCTCGCTCCAAGAGAACTGACATGACTTTGGGGCACTGAGGTAGTGTTACTGCTGGGGTTCTAGGCTGAAATCAATAAAGATGTCAATGACATTAGATTGTGGAAAAGTTCTGAAAATAATTGATGATGATGAAATGATTCAACTTAAGGGCAAACACAAAACATTTTTGTTGTTACAGGAAAGAAAATCCTGAAGAAGTGATTCAACCAAATTTTGACAAGATCTTTTTCTGAGTTTCATTATTTTAATCCAAACATTTTCAGGATATATTTTTCACTCACATGAAATTGGAAAAAAAGTAATTGCTTTGAATCAGAATCAGAACTCACATCACATACCACAGGAGATTGCTATGTCATGTAGCCATGGCATCTTAAACAGTAAGAAGTACTGACACTCACATAAGGTTCTTGTCCCTAAAGAGGCTTGAGGTTCTTTTCAACTACTGCAGAGTTGATAATGCAATTCATGCTACACTGCATTTTTTATTTTTTCAGAGGCAGGGGTAATTTTTCACCAGAAGCACAAACAAGTGACTAACTTTGCAATTTAATCTTTGTCTTCACAATCAATCAAAGCTGGTAAAATACCCCTCCCTGGTAAAATACCCCTTCCTGGTATATACCCCTTTCTGGTAAAATACCCCTTTCTTTCGGGCATCTCTTCCACTGTGTTTAGAAGTGATTGCTTGAAACCTCTGAATGGTACAATTGAAAACCATTTTCCAAATGCAAAGAACTTCATTCTTTTTAATTACATCTTATAATGTCAAAGAAATTTGGGCTCACATCTGAATTAGGCAAAAGAATCTAAAATGGAAGAAGAATTTGTTCAAGAAATCCTCTGGTGCCAAACCAAAATTCTTTGATAAGTTGAATAATCAGATTATTATACTACTGATTCCTTTGTTCCTTACTTTGATAGCATATACATTATGCCTTGCCAATTCCTCATAAATAATAGGCTAGTTTTATTTTGGTTGTCAGGAACAGATGAAAAAGACATTAGGGAAACTTTTTGGTTTCAATGAGAAAGAAAGAAAGAAAGAAAGAAAGAAAGAGAAAAAGAAAGAAAGAGAAAAAGAAAGAAAGAAAGAAAGAAAGAAAGAAAGAAAGGGGCAGTAATAACATTTGTGTTTAACATCTGCTTCAGTGAAATTTTAAATCTTTTAATTTGTACCCTCTTACTGCATTCATACTTATGTTCGTTACTGCAATAATTTTGTCATTTTTGACTAAAGTCATTAAGCTCAAATACTTAATCCAATAAGGGAAATTCTACAGTTATTTTATAGTCATGAATCTCACAAGGAGTTTATTTAATCATTAAACTAAGAATTATGATTAATCAGAAAAATTCAAATAGAAAAACCATGACATTTTCACAGGTACTACTAGTATTAATAAATAAAATGAAATCCCATGCAAGATATCATACCTTGAAAATTCCTGCTTTCTGCCATGCAATGGAATCTAATGTTGATCCTAATATGTTTTGGTGATCGTAGCCAATAGATGTGATTCCACAGACAACAGGGAAGCGAACAATATTTGTGCAATCATACTGACCTCCAATTCCTACCTCAAGAATTGTGACATCAACGTTCTCTTTCAAAAAGACATAAAAGGCCAATGTTGTCAGAAATTGAAAGTAGCCAGGCATCTGATGATGTTCATAGTTGCCCTTTGAAAACAAGAAAATATTGGGGAAAAAATAACAAAAGGAAAATCTGAAGAGAGAAAAAGATTGATTCTGTTCTTTGAAACAGTAAAATGAAGGATTTTCATGACTCCTTGAATTATTAAACTCATATCCTCATTTCTTGCCATAGGATTTTTTTTTCTATTGATCACTCAATAGAAAACCCATTTACTACAACAAAAACTCATCCTTGAACTCAAGAATGAGTTTTTGTTGTAGTAGATGTTCAAGGTAAGGAGCCTCATTGTGAGTACAACAACTTATCAGGATGATAGTAGATTTATCGTCTGCTCAGTAGTGATGAAACATCAGCTGTGATCATGCTTCTCCTCCTGAGGCCAATATACTAATGCTGATGACATAGGTATTCATAGTTGTGATAAGAATGATCATGAAGAGAAAATCAACATCCTCTACAAAGTGTTCCAAGAAATAGGACTCAAGATAATCCTTTCTAAAACAGAAAATATGATCTGGAATTGGAATGGAAGCAGTGATGGCACTGAACCTGAATCGATCATTAAAAAAACTCAGGATGTGGAATTAATAAATATGAAACACTTCACACATACATACATACATACATAGATACATACATAGATATGTTTTTTGTTGAAACAGGACTGGGATTAATCTTTCACAAAGCAAGGTGGTTCCTGCCTGACAGTTTATTTGTCCTAAAGATTTCAAGCAAGCTTTTTCAAGGGCAGGTGCTCTGTCACCCAACACAGACTCTCACAGTAGTCCAAGTCCACCAAGTGTTTTTTTTATTTTTTATTTAAGAAGTAATTTTAGCTTTGGCTAAAGGTCACAGGTAAATAAACCAAGATTGTAAGGCAGCTAACAGACCTTGATAATATATATATTTGATTAATTTTACTTATATATATACCTGAGGATTGTAAAAAAATACCTATGAATATTGCACCTTCTCTCTTCTAAAAAAAACAGAATAGGTTGTACTCTTCCTGACAGACGTGGAATAGACTGCACCTTCTCTCATGTAAAAATATCACCAGTTGACTTTTCTCCTATAAAAATGGTACAAGTTGTTTCAATAAAAAAATCATTTTTACTTAAGTAGGTTAAGTATCACAGGTAGTGGACCTCCCACCCTCCCCGACAAAAAAGACACAGGTAGAGGCAAAGAATATGACACAGGTTGTCTTCTTTCAAAATAGTAGAGGTAACATTTTCTCAATCAAATTACATATTGTATTCACTCCAATAAATGTGACACAGACTGCTTTCTCTGCTGTAAAAATCGTGCAGGTTGCTTTTTTTCCTATAAAGGAAATGTCACAGATAGCCTACTTGCTGACAAAAATAAAATGGGCTGCCTTCTATCCTGTTAAGATATTACAGCTTACCACATATCATCCTTTTATTCTTTTATCCATTTTTTATTTATTGATTGTAGTTATGCAACATTTTTTATGGACGAGAATGTATTTTAAAATTTGTAAAAAAAAAAAAAAAAAAGAAAAAAAAAGCGTTTTAAGTTGTAACGTTAATTTGTTTGGTTTACTTTTTTTTTTCCTATTGAATAGTCAATATTTCTTCCTCTTTTAAATATTTTTAACAAAAACAATAATAAAAATGTACTCATACATTTGATGATAATTTTATACTTTTATTATTTCCCTATTTATTATTTGGTCTCTAAAGTAATAATAAGAATGTGATACATTTGATGACAAACTGTTTACTTCAACATCTAGTGTAAAATATATATGTGTGCACCGCTGATGGTCGCTCCTTGTCATGGTTGAGGGGCTTGTGTGTTCCAATGACCCTGAGAGCAGTGCCATCAGGAGTTCTAAATTTCTGGTGCAACCCTTGGTGGCAATGTTAAAGACGAGGACTCAGCCTAAGTGTGACCAACCCCAAAGGTTGAACAAGCAGATAACGATTACACAGATCTCAATGGTTGAACTAGTGGATGAAGAGGGCTACACATGATGGACATGCTATAGAAGGTGCCATACAAAATTATAATAGTCAGTGGCAATCCATTACAGCTTCATAACTAGATTCTGCAGGTGCCATTTCATATGTGCCACAGAGTAAGGTCATGAAATCAAGTCACTTCCTGGTAAGTTGACATCAACCTTAAACAAATCTGCACCATCAGAACTTTCTTCTACACTGATTTTCTTTCAACTTTTAACCAACTCTTGCAAAACGAAACAGCAATAGAGAATGGATGACTGGAGCAGGTTTGGGAAGCTTCTAGTCTTGAATCTGCACATTGGTGATAAATTTAATCATCATAAAGGAAGTGATCAGCAAAGAAGAAATTAAATCCTTGAATACAAAATAAAACTGACAACCATATGTCATTTAAAATTAGAACAAGAAGTCTTCACTTGTTGGCTTTTCACACATAAAAAAAACATTCATTTTCAACTATAAAAATAACGTAGATTGTCTCTGACAAAAATGGCACAGCTTTCCCCCTCTCATAGAAAAAATGGTATAGCCTGCTTTCTCTTCTTTTATGGTAAATATCACATGTTGCCATCTAACTTATAAAGTGGGTGTGTAGGTGGTGTAATAGATAGCAGTTTGGAATGAGAAATCTAGGAGCCAAGTTCATTTTCCAGTTGAATTCATTACATTTACTTATGCAAAAAAACCCTTGGTAAAGTATGAATCCATCTACTCCTCCTATCTATGGGTTAAATAATAAGGTTTGTATCTGGAAAAAATGATTATTACTCTCAAAAAATTGTTAATGCAATATTCACTTGTAAAAAAAGAATTATTTTTAATTTTGGTTTCAGTTGCTATGAATGACTGAAAAACACATTCTCCCTCCCCAATTTATTGTCAGAAAAATACAAATGCATGCTGGGATTTCTTCCTAGCCATTAAATTAGACCAGTTCTCAATTTCATCTGACTCAGTCCCGGTCTGTCTTGTCTTGAAGTCAGAATGCTATCTTTGCTTTTGTGTGTCAACCCCAATTCTTAGTTTGTGAACTTTTGGCCAGATTATTGTGGCTTTGCCTTCTTACTGTTAATTTGCCTTGAATATATTGTTTGCTTGCTTTCTATTATTTCTTTTTGTCTTGTTCTTTTCCTTGTTATTGCAAACTTTGTCGATTCTGTTTGCTGAACAGTTCTATTACTTATTTTGCATTTGACCATGGCTACTCACACAACACTTAAAATCCAAAATACATTTCAGCTTTAAATAATTCATAAAAGGTTGATAAATAGTAAAAAAAACAAATCAAACAATCCCACTTATAAAATAATAATATAGTTTGCCTTCTTCTGACAAAAATAGCAGTTCACCTTTTCTCTTCTGTTAAAATGTTACAGACTGCCTTCTACAGTCCCCAAAAATGTAAAGCACATACAAAAAAATAACTCCAGGACTTGTCTGCATACCTTTGTGGCTTCCAACTGGCTATATACATGCCAGAAATATTCAGCAAATTTATCTTTAGAGATTGGAGCTCCATTGATGCGTATTCTCTCTGTGACGTTAATCAGGTGAGGTGAGCTGAAAAAAACAAAAAGTAAAATTCATTTCTACTTTAGTAAATCTCAACCATAAACACAGTTTTGCTGCAATTTTTACAGGTGCACAGAGGTGGTGCAAGAATCACCTGAGCTCACCTGTAGTTTTCAAATGTTGTTTATGTTTGTTCAGAATTTATGTATTCCTGGTATATCTGCCTTGCTACTATGGTTCAGCTGCCATCTTGGAGATAAAGACCTTAATCTTTTGGACCTGAACAATCATCCCAGGATCAACATTATAGGGAAGAAAATGGTGTCTTATCTCGTCAAATCAAGCGACAGCATGTTGTGTGTATCCTACGATGAAAAATGTGGTGAAAAAGAAAATTACTTACCAAAAAAAGGGCACGTATTCCACGAGACATGCTGAAGACGGAATATTTTAGAAACAAGTCAGTCACAGGAGTCTCTATAAAAGTATTTTGATATACAAAAATTGGATGTCTTCTCCCAGTTGTCGATGAATGGAAAAAATGCTTGGCCGATAAAAGCAGTTGGTGTTCTCGAGTCAAGAGGGGGAAAAGAAAAATTTGTGCATTTTGGCTACCATGTTCGTCGGAGAGTGATTTATTTTTCTGACTGGTTATGGGCATTGTGATTTGTGAGATAGTATCTGCGAATCGAGTTTTTGGCATTTCTTTCTGTCCCCCGATATTTGAGTCTGAACTTACAGTGATTTATTCTCTGCATTGTGGAAGTAATCTGCAACAAATATTTCCTTTGCAATCCCAGAACGCTTACAAACATTAAATTCTATTTGCATTCCATGGCTGGGAAAGCTACACTACCTCTTTACATTATCTGGTTGAGTCCATTTCTACAAGTGAGTGGATATGAAAACAATCCAGTGTACTTTTTGGCACATCAATTTAAATTATTTTTCTCTTATCACATGGCTGAGTGACATATGCTGGTCAATTGACATGCACATATCTTTACATAACAAAATACAGTTAAGAACGTTTGAAAACTAATTGAAACAAATTCAATTCTTGTGATTTGAACTTGTCACTTTGACCTCTTGAAGATTTTTCCCTTGCTCATTAAATTTTTTAGTAAATAGCTTTTACAAAATCCATGACACTCAGTCAAGAATCCCAAATAGATGAATTTTGCATGCCTTGAGCTGAGGTAATGACCAGCAAGCTAATTGAATTGAATATTGCTACTGAGTTTGATCCTCACTAGGTGCCCTATACTTATGGCCTTTTTAAATGACAACTTCATAAGTTTTGGGATTTTAAGATACAGAAATATTTGAATTTCATTCAATGATGAGTGTACAGTCTGTGACAAACATTCACTGCCTCTACAAGGATTAAAAAAGCCATGATAATATTTTGCAGGCTTAGTCAGCCATTTGCAATTTGTATTTGTGGACTGTTATGCATGATATAACTAGAAAGAAATGTCCATTCAAATTCTAAACATATATAAAGATGACAAATTTGTCAGTGGACAGAAGAACCTTTCAGTGATGTCGAAGTAACTATGGTAATTACACTACAGAAAGGAGACAAATAGGTTCACCTATCACCTGATTTTTCTCCCCTCTCCCCACCAGGTCTTTTGAACAGGAGTAGAGGTTTATCCCTTGTTTGGCTTTCTGGTTCCTTCTAAAGTCTTCTTATTTTCTTTCAATCCCAGTAGCCCCTTGCTTGTGATGAATTGATTATATAAAAAAAAAAAAAAAACACAGACTCATAAGATTTCAGTGTCCCACCAGAGAAGAAGAAAAACTCAGGTTAATGATAAAATGTATTAAAGCATTAAGCGGAACCATATTCCACCTGTTCTGGTTTCTAAGATTTTCTTTTCTTTTTTCTTTTCCCTTTCTTCTTTCACAAACCTTGAACACAGAATTTATTTATAATTTATTTTGGTATAGAAATTGACCTCTCCTATTCTGACCTTTTCAGATTTTGGCTTATATTTGTTGAATCATTCACCTCCTGCCACCATTTCACCCCCAAGAAAATAAGTCCAAACCACTTTCATCAGATTGACAAATTCAAAGAGACTCAATGAATGCATCTCATACAACTCATTGCATTTTGTTTGTTTTCTTTTTTTTTTTTTCAAATGTTTACATAAGAATGTTTTAGAAAATGTCAAATAAGAAAATATTTTATCTTTTAAACATTTTCCTCTGGCATTGTCATCATCATGTCACAATTGAAGACTAAAATATGACATGAAAATATTTTCTCTACAGATGTTCAAGTGGTGTAATGTAACGAAAAGTCAGGGAGCAGAGTTCAAATTCTGGTCAAGATCGTTAAATTCACTTTTGCACAAATACCCCTGGGAAAGGTATGAATCCATCCCTTATTCCCCAGCTATGGGTTAAATAGTAAGGCAGACTGGACTCTCTAATCATAGTTGAGAACCAGTATAGGAGAACAACTCTGAATTCAAAAGCATATGTGGCCCCTGGTGGGCGCATACTTGAACTGTGTCTAAGGTTCACTCAGTAGAGTTGCAGTATAAACAACAGTTTGGATCTGTAGGTGTTGAAGAAACACAAACCCAGAGTAAATTGAGGACATTCTCAGAAACAAGTAACCATACTGAAGATGAAATATTGCAGCATGCCTTCAAGTCGAAACGTCTCTGACAATGATGATCTTTAATTTTTGAACTGCATCTGTCCAGAGAATTTCATCTTGAAAGTCAAACACATTGCAAATGCATCCATTTCTTATTCAGCATCCACAGATTTTTTTTTTCTACTTTCTTCTTCCAAGTTTCAAAGAGAACAAAACCAGCTTTTATGTTTTCCCTTTTCAGATGAATGCAACTTGGAGTTCTTTAAATTGTCATTTGATCAGAGTTTCATTTTCCAAGTAAATTCTTTTTTTTTCTCAACAGTAACATTTTTTTTAATGCAGAAAATTAAACATCATGTCAACCCTAACGTAATCATCAACAAAAGAAAAAAAAACGTCTTTTCTCAACTGGAATTTAAACTTTCTGATTCCTCAATCTAAGCTGCTATCCATGAATCTGCCATGCTTCCAGTGGGGTTTAGTGGTTAGAATGATATAAAGGTTAATAAGAAGTTTCAGATTTATCTCAAATGTCTCATTTCTGAGGCTAAAAACAAGAAATTCACTCCATTTAGTCAAAGTCCTTTGATTCCATTCTGAATATGATGTAAATAATCATTGAAATATTAATAAAATTTTGCACAATTCTTTGACTGATCATCAAATACTGATTATTTTAGTTTTAAAACTGTCATAGTATTTTGGTAAAATAAAATGCTATGATTCTATTAAAATAAACAAATTTATTAACATATTAGTGAAGATAAAAGTGATTCTGAAGAACATATTCATAGGTCATATTTGATAAATAAAACACAATGTGGATTGAATTTATTTCTTAAAGTCATCTACAGAATCATAAAGAGAATTTTAAATTGTCTGATACTTAAAACCAAAAATGGTTTCCTTTGGCAATAAGTTTATAAAAGACTGTTGCTTTGCTTACCTAAAGAATCCAGTTTTATAACCACAGTTCCTCAAAATGCTTTCTGTGTAGGCACATGTTGAACCTTTCCCTTTTGTTCCCGCAACATGAATAACAGATAATTGGTCATGATCTTCCAGCTGTGACAAAAAGACAAAATTGAATTGAAATTGCAAAGTAAACAAAAAAAAAAAATTAAAAATTAAAAAAAAAAAAAAAAAAAAATTAAAAAATAAAAAAAAAAACATTGTGGGAAAAATAGCAATATAATGTACAGATCCAGAATCATAAATTTGGGGTCATAATCTCAAAGGTCATAATCCAGTCTCACAAATTCAAAGTAAAAAAATACAGGATGTAAATGAAAAAAGGAGTAAAAAATCTGTCTCCCCAATATGGTGATCGGTTTTAATAAAAACAGTGCATAACCTTTGTAGCTGAGGCCCAGTTACAGTGATGTGCAGAGATTGGCTGATGTCTGGTGATACCCAGGGCCACCTCCTGGAGTGTATGTCTCTAAGAGTTAAGCAGGGGAACTATAGGGCTTAGTACTGAGGAATGTGAGAAAGGAAAACATTTTAAATATGTAAAATCAGATAAAAACATGAAATAAACACAGAATTTTTTTGTAAATGTGGATGAATCAACTGAGTGCATTTCATACGCATTTACAAAAAAATTCACAACTATTAATTACATTAGTTTTTTGTCTTAGCAATTCATCTCTGAAGAGGATCTTGGATGAGAATGAAAGTACTTGGGAAAATAAAAGGAATGAGAAAAACTATGGCGCCTTCCTTAATGAGTTTAATAGGAACATTAAGAAACTGATCCGTGAATTTGAAAGGATTTAAAATAAAAATAAATAGACATAATATGTCTAGATTATTCAACCAAACGTGCTTGAATGAACATGTACTGCCTAAATATACATATCTACACTTACATACATATGTGTGTATATATATATAAATATCTGACGAGTGGACAGAATGATTACTAAACTGTTCTTCTATAAAATTCCAGAGTCAAGGTGCTGAATATAATATTAGTCAGCTAAGTAATAATTTTTAAATTTTTTATATTATATATGACG